ATAATAAGTTAAGTTGTGGCATGATTCTGTCAAGTTTCCAAGTCACAGTATATTTCAGAATGTACTTTCCAGGAATGTGAGCTTCATAGCTGATGTTGATAAAGTACAGCCGTTGTGTGCATCCACAGCAGGTGGTCATTGCTTTTTTTTTTTTTAACAGTCATTGCTTTATAATCCAGCAGGCCATAATCTAGTGGGGGCTGCCAGGGCAATATAAACACGTTTGTACTGGACAGTCATACACACTTCTACATTCTAAGCACTGAATCATCTCTTTTCCTGGACTGTTCTTCACCCTCTAGTTTTAAAGGAAACTCCTGTAGGATTCTATATCCCTGGGATGTTTAAACTATGTTTGGGTGGCCCTTCTCATCTTTTTATGATCTTGGAAAATACCTTTCTTGAAGGAAGGGGCAGTAAGGCAGCAAGGGATAATGAAAAGTTATATGATGGAGGGGCTCCTGGGTGGCTCAGTTGTTGAGTGTCTGCCTTCGGCTCAGGTCATGATCCCAGGGTACTGGGTTTGAGCCCTGTATCGGGCTCCCTGCTCAATGGGAAGCCTGCTTCTCCTTCTCCCATTCCCTCTGCTTGTGTTCCCACTCTGGCTGTGTTTCTCTCTGTCAAATAAATAAAATCTTAAAAAAAAAAGAAAAAAAGAAAAGTGTATGTGATGTAATCACTAAGCAGAGACAAATTCTAGGTCCGTCACTTTCTAAGGTATTGGCTACTTTATTTATTTATTTAAGTATAATTGACACACAATGTTGCATTAGTTTCAGGCATACGATACAGTGATTAGACACCTTTATATGTTATGAGCGACTAGGCAATTTGTAACTTATCAAAACCCATTACCATCATTTGTAAAATGGAGATAATAAAATAATACTTACATCTCAAGGTTGTTATAAGGATTATTGCCACACACATGCCACACACACAGACACGTCCATAGAAATATCAATGCACATTGATAGTCAATGCACATAGAAAATAATATCTTTGGGAGAACAGGATGTGTTTTATTATTTGCAACATGAAAGCCCTTTGTGTGTCTGTAAATATAAATTGCCCAGGACATTCTCTTCTGGCTCCTCTTCCATTGCGTGTTCTTATGTTCTCTCCCTATTTTATGACTTGCCTTTGTTCTGTTAATGGGCTTTTCCACAATCTGGCCCGTATGTGGGGCTGACTTCCCATCCCCACCTTTTGTTTACTTATGCTTGCTGTTCAGGTGATTATATTCACTGCAAAGGTTTTATGTATTGGTGACCCTCAGTTTATATATCTAACTGGAAACACACATCTTGATCCAGCCTTATAGACCCACCCTCCTGTTTGGCACCTGCACCTAGGTGCTTTAAAGTTATCTCACATGTGGGGCACCTGGGTGGCTCAGTGGGTTAAGCCTCTGCCTTTAGCTGCGGTCATGATCTCAGGGTCCTAAGATCAAGCCCTGCATCGGGCTCTCTGCTCAGCAGGGAGCCTGCTTCCCCCTCCCCTCTCTGCCTGCCACCTGCCCGCTTGTGATCCCTCTCTCTCTGTCAAATAAATAGTTAAAATCTTTAACAATAAAATAAAATAAGATTATCTCACATTTAACATGTTCAAGAGAAAATTATTCAGGTTTTCTCTGCCTTCACCTGTTGCTGTACCAGTCTATCCCATATCTTTAAGTGGTAAAATACACTCATTTTTAGACTCTAAACTTAAGAGTAGACCCTAATTTTTCTCTACCTTATAACCCACACCCTGTCTATCACAAGTCCAGTTGATTCTACCTGCAAAATGTCTGATGATGTCCATTTCTTTCTGTATCTGCTGTCCCCAATAGTAGCCAAGCCACTGTAATTCCCTACTTAGATTATTTATGTCTGCTAATCAGATTTCTTCTGCCCATTATCCAGAACAATGAGCACCTAGAACAATCTTTTGTAAGATTGAATTCTGACTCTGAAAAACAATCTGAGGGTTTTGAAGGGGCGGGGGGTGGGAGGTTGGGGGAACCAGGTGGTGGGTATTGGAGAGGGCACGGATTGCCTGGAGCACTGGGTGTGGTGCAAAAACAATGAATACTGTTATGCTGAAAATAAATTTAAAAAATTTTTAAAAAATATTAAAAAAAAAGATTGAATTCTGCCAGTCATTTGTTTATAACTCCTCAGTGGTTTTCTGTTGCACTTAACATCCAACTTCCTTTTAAGCATCTACCTGATCCTACATGGTCTGGCCCTTTCTAATTTTTGCACCTCATCTTGTACCACGATTGCTCCCATTCTTTATGCTCCGGCCACATTTGTTCACATGACTGCCTTCTTTATTTTATTGTTCTTTGCATTTCCCAGGCTCTAGCTAAAGTCATCTTTTAGAGTACTGATCTGTGAGCCCTGTAGGAAGCAAATATCACCTATTCTCTCTTGAATACTTAACTTCCAGGACAGAGTCATAGCATAGACATGCCATAAATATTTGTTAAATGAGTTAATGAACAAGTGCCTGGCATATGATTGGTGTTCAATGAAAGATAATGATGGCAATTATCAGTGTGCATCATTGCACTTCTTTGTTACATTAGTCTTTCCCACTCAATAGTTAGTAGATATTTTTTGAATGAGTAAAAAAATTAATTTAGCTTATAACTGAAAGACAATATTTTAGTGTTGTGTGTGTGTATTGAGTATGTCTCAATATATACAGAGCTTGCCTAAAATAATTCTAATACAAAATTCATGAGAATGTTTTAGTTTCACCATTTTGATAGGCCACTTCTAGTCTCACTTATCACTTTGATGGTCTTATGTAATAAAAATGAGTCCTGTTTTGTTATTGAGTTTTCTCACTAATGTTCTGGATTTAATAAGACACTGTGATTTCTTTATATATGGATATGCTCATATGCTTATGAGATATGAGATATGGTTATGAGATATCCTCATAAGCAGTAGAATTCACATGTTCATGAGAACAAGCATTGGTCTCTAGGTCTTTGGTCCAAGCAAGTGAAGGGAAAGCTTGAGAATATTCAAATAATTTCTCAAATGAGAAAATTAATATCAGCCTTTGCTCCCTTCTCCTTGTCTACAATGCCAAATTCCATACCAAAACTGATTTTTGCCCTAAATATTGCTAAACATCTAGTTATCCTGGAACATCTGGTTATTTGATAAGGTTTTTTATTTTAATGTTTGGTCCTATGCAAGGCAGCCTTTCTCTGTTGCCATAGGAGACAGTAGAAGGCAGTGGTAGAAATGGTGGGATGCGGAGAATGAGGAGAACTGTGATTCAGGTCATCTTCACTTGGTGTCTGGACTAGAATTTTTGCAGACCTGATGGGTTTTGAAAACCATTAGTATTCCTGGGGAAGCATCATGCTTGTATAAATTCCTGAAGAAGCATCACCTGTCTTTGAAAGGTGTTGTTTAGGAAGTTAGTCACTTGAAAACAATTTGAGATCCTTTGCTGGCAGAGAGGATAACGTAACAAATAAGTCTCTTATACAATACTTTCAATAACCCAAATCACTAATTTGTCAGTTCCCTTTTACAAACTCTGCTAGAATTGGCTGTAGGCAATTTGGGACAAATTTCCTTCTTCCCAGGAGTTTAAACTGAAATAGATGACTACATTCAAAGCGATGCTAAGTTTCTACTTGGAAGGATAGTTCTAAATATGCATCCTTCTAGCCCTTGGAGTCTTTGTGATATGGAATTTTTTTTTTTTTTTCTGGATCGGAGATAGAGGACTGATTACTGTGAATTTTATTATAAGACTCTGTAATTACTCTGAAGACTCTGGAGGACTGAGCGAGTTGCCAGAGAATTTTCTGTCTTCACCACCTAGCTACAGAATGCCCTTAGAAATGTAATAACAGAAAAGGTCATGTCCTGAATATATATATAGTCCTATTCAATATACAAAACAACAGCATAGTTGATATCTTATCTTGTTTCCCATAACAGTAGCCTAGTACATATGATGGGACTTTTCAGATGAGGAAATTCTGGTACTAAGAGGTTGAACAATTTATTAATAATTCTTAATAGCAGAACTGCAACTTGAACTGAGTATTATTTTTGCCCCAAACCAGTGCCCACTTCCCTTTGTCTTTCTACCTAGTTTGGGAACATTTCACTCTGCAATACCCCAACCCTCTTCTTTTTTTTTTTCCTACAGTTCATTTAGCTTGGAAATACCTACTGACTTTGTTCTATATTATATGGAAACTAGACACAATACTTACTTATTGGGAAGATTATTCAGCTTGCCTTACCTTGCAGTTGAAGAGGGATTATGTAGCTTTTGTTAGAAAGTCATTTTTTTGTGTGATTGCATAATCAATACATCCTAATACTGAAAATTTGGAAAGAAATAAAAAGTATTTCTAAAACAAAAACTGTCATCACCCAGAGATAACTAATGGTTGTTATTTTGGGTTGCATGCTTCCTGAAGTTTTCTGTTCATGCCATTGTTTTGTTTTTAGGATGCTCTCTCTCATCTCCACGTAAGAATATCATTTGGCCTGCCACACATAGATTTGCTTTTGTGTACTCCAGATGAACAAATGAAAAAAGTATTAATGTACATAAAGTAGGATCAAGAAGCTCTATCAGATTGCTTCATCAAATTACACAATTACAGGGACGCCTGGGTGGCTCAGTTGGTTGGATGACTGCCTTCGGCTCAGGTCATGATCCTGGAGTCCCGGGATTGAGTCCCGCATCGGGCTCCCAGCTCCGCGGGGAGTCTGCTTCTCTCTCTGACCTTCTCCTCGCTCATACTCTCTCTCACTGTCTCTCTCTCAAATAAATAAATAAAATCTTTAAAAAAAATTGCACAATTACAAAAGAGACAAAAGAGAGTCTTAAAGATTTTTAGATTGTTTTTTTCAAAAAGATTATATTCCTAATCTACATCATCAAAGCCTACTAGTATAGACCATTAGAGCTTCCCAAAGTAGTTGTACTTATGTTGTTAAATACCCATGCTATTTTTTTTCCAGGTTTTGAAGATCATGATCACATGGACGCATCTAACTAAATGGTACGTGGGGACATGGTGGTCCTTTAGAGAGCACATCTAAATTACTGGCTAATTCCTTGGTTTGCCACCCAACATAGGACGTTGTCTAATTCTATCTATCAGAACTCTCCTAAATTTTCCCCACCATGCTATCTTTATTAGCCTGAACTCCTTTCCTAAAATGGTCCTTCTGTTGATCCTGTCAGTTCTGCTTTTGAAAGAAGATGTCCGTGGGAGTGCACAGTCCAGTGAGAGGAGGGTGGTGGCTCACATGCCGGGTGACATCATTATTGGAGCTCTCTTTTCTGTCCACCACCAGCCCACAGTGGACAAAGTTCATGAGAGGAAGTGTGGGGCAGTTCGTGAACAGTATGGCATTCAGAGAGTGGAGGCCATGCTGCATACTCTGGAAAGGATCAACTCAGACCCCACACTCTTGCCCAACATCACCCTGGGCTGTGAGATAAGGGATTCCTGCTGGCATTCGGCTGTGGCCCTAGAGCAGAGCATTGAGTTCATAAGGGACTCCCTCATATCTTCAGAAGAAGAAGAAGGTTTGGTGCGCTGCGTGGATGGGTCTTCCTCTTCCTTCCGCTCCAAGAAGCCCATCGTAGGGGTCATTGGGCCTGGCTCCAGTTCTGTGGCCATTCAGGTCCAGAACTTGCTCCAGCTTTTCAACATACCTCAGATTGCTTACTCGGCAACAAGCATGGATCTGAGTGACAAGACTCTGTTCAAGTACTTCATGAGGGTTGTGCCCTCAGATGCTCAGCAGGCACGGGCCATGGTGGACATAGTGAAGAGGTACAACTGGACCTATGTGTCAGCTGTGCACACAGAAGGTAAGCATCCTTTATATCCCTTGATGTGTGTCTTCTTATGCACTCAGCAGATTCCCTGTTATAATTTCAGATTTTGGAAGGCTAAAATATTCCTGGTTATTGGGATCTTCTGAGTTGCCTGGTTATCCCAGTAATAAAAGAAGGGGTCAAGTGGTAGATGTCTAGAGAGGTTTGGATTTAGGCTAATATGAATGTTGATGTGGCCATCATTTGGTGAAATGATTTTTTTTTTGTGTGTGTTCTATTACCGTATTATATTACCTGCATTTCTGCTATGATGATTTTAGAGATTTTTAAGTTTTCTGAAATCTAATTAACATTTCATAATTTTCACACTTAAAGTTGTTCCAACTGTTCTTGATAAAGAGAGGTACACATAAATGCAGGTAGGGACTGGAGGCAGTCTGTTCTGGCCAGGTCTACTGTAATAGAAAATTACCAAACAGTTCAGTCTTTCAACTACTTTTTTTTTTCAAAAGAAAGCATAGTTAAATCTGGAAGAGAGATATGTATGAATTAATATAGCCCTTGTCTAGAACATACTTAGTGTAAGTTTTTAACAATTCAAAATTAGTTTTGCTTTGAAATTTATTGTTTCTTTATGCTCAAAGCAAAAAAGGAGCAAAATGTGACCAAGGTTTTATAACAATAGCAATATTAGTCCTTCTTATTTGTTACAGTGCTTCAAAAATGTTTTCATATACATAACTTATTAGTTCATGACCAAGGCTGTTTGGGATAGGTTTGGTTTGACTACAGAGGTTAAGTGACCCAAATGTGAGACTCACTAATTACACAACACTCTTTGTAGCACAACATACTGCCTATACTAAGGCCAGAAGGTACAAAATACTTTTAGAGTTCATGGAAGCATGGTAAGGATTAGTTAAGATGAAAGAATCTTGCAATAACATTATCAATATGGTCCAAACAATCCAATCCTATAAAATGTGGGGTTGAGTTATTGAGCAATTTGTGAAATGATCAGAATGAACCTACTTTGGAGGTTGGTAACCAATCCCCAGTCAGTTATAGCCAACTCTTCATTATGAAGTAGCATAATATAGATTTCACTGTATACCCACTCATTAACAATGTTTAAAGCTGTACAAACATAAAATGGTCTCCCATACTAGACTGAGATTTTTATGCCTATGGAAATTCTTGTGTATAAGTTTGTAGTTTACTTATTGAGATGTTGGTATGTGGAGATTTTGAGCAATGGATAGATGATTGAGGAGACTTTGGATTTTTTTCTAATGCTGTGATTTTCATTATAAAACCAGTATTTCACTTTAGTCTCACAACAATCCAGTGATACAGGCAATCCAGGTATTTTATTCCCATTTTAAAATACAAATGCTTTTAGCATTTAAATGGTCCATCCAATATATACTTAACAGTAATTTTAAGAGTAGGACTCCTCGTTACTGACTTCTAGCTTAGGGCCCTATTTTAATTGAACATAATCCAATGTAATCACACCTGAGGATATATTTACACAATGCATATTTATTAAGCACAGATACATGTAAGGACTTCTGATAGTCCTGTGAAGGGATAGCCCTCTGTTTTATATATTAATACTTTCAATGGGTAGGCAGTCTGGCCAAGGACAGGAGGCATGCATTAATACTTATATAACCATCATTCATGATGACAAGACGTTACAAATATGACTTTAAAGTAAACTGACATGGAAAAAAATCAAGTCCTGTTCTATGGGGATGGGCCCCATGGTGGAGTTTGTCAAGAAGGAAATGGAATTTGAGTTGGATGTTGATAGGAAGAATACTGACAAATGGTGAAAATTAAGAAGAGATGGATTTCCAGAAAAGGGCATGAGGAAATATGAGTTGGGAAAGTAAAAAATGTTTTAAAAATGCCAAGGATAAAATTATGTTTTGGTTCAAATCATAAATTTCATTAGGGACTTCCCTCTAGCTTTTGAAGAGTAAGTCTCGGTCTCTATATAGGACAGGCCAATTCAAGATTGTGCTCTAAGTGAAACTCATAATTATGACCATTGGCTGTTTCTAATTTAAATTTTTTTAACCTAAATGTATGCCAATAGTGATCTAATAAAATAAATTGATTTGTTCATGTAAGTGTTATTGCATAGCTATTAAAATGAATGAAGCATTCTGTAGGTAATGAAATCATAATAATGAACTCCCAAGATCATTTTTTAAGTGAAAAAAGCAAGGTGTAGTTTTGTGTAATGGCATGTTATTTGTGCAAAATGGAATTTATGTAAACCATTGGATTCAAGGAATTGCTCTCAGAGAACAAAACAGGTAATAGTTGCTTCTTCTGAGGAGGAAATAGAAGAGTTAGGGGATCAGGTAGAATGGGAGAGACTGACTTTTCTTGTATAACTTTTACATGCAAACATTTGAAGTTGTGAATTATAAGCATAAACCACCTATTGAAACATAAACATTAAGAAGGAACATTCTATATGTAGGTAAAAAAAAAAAATAAGCCAATAAAAATTTTATTGCCAAATCCTGGCATATTTAGTTATTTTGCCAAAAATAGGTCAAATTGAAATATTGCTAAATACTGGCAAAATATTTGGATACCAACAGGATTTAGGAGAGAACACACTTCAAGTATGGACAAAGGCAGGAAGAAATACTCTTTGGCTTATTTCTTTATGTGGCTTAGTCAGAAAGTATTTCTATTGCTTTGATCCCAAGCAATTATGTGGATAATGAGGTTATTTGGTGTTGCAGCTCACAATTTATCTGTATAGGAGTGGGGTGGTAGGAAGTGTCACAAGGTGAAATCACATCTGGGGTCAGAAAAGTGTTGGAGTATAAGGGGATACAGCTCTGTTGGGTGCTATGGAAACTCTCCAAGATGATGCCTGGTTTTCTGTGGCCTGGCCTCTCAGAAAGCCTGGAGAGATTTTTCATGAAATGGTAATACCAGTTCTTCCTTCAGCCTCTTTCTTGGCTGAAGTGGGATAATGCTCTCTAGCCCTGGGTCTCTAAGCCCCAGTGTCTCAAACTATTCCCATGTCCTTATAATTATCCGCCTTTGCCCAGTTGATATTCTTCTTTTTTAAAGAGCATTGAAGCTTCTAAATACTTTCCCAAGATGCATTGAGGTCTATGAAAAGATTTTGTCCCATTAAAAAAATCCTTTATCCTCCCCCACCCCACAAGTTGGTCATTTACGTCAAACTTTAACATGGTAGTACAGTCCCCTTGGCAGAGTTCACAAGGTGTTCCTTCCAGAAAGTGTTGCTGTCACAGAATTCCGGAGGAGAGCACGACGAGATCTGGGGTTTAGCTTCAGTGCTAATCTCTTACACTTGCCATTTCCTTGATATGTGGTTTTCCTAGGCTATAGGATTAGTATTTACGGTGGCTTGTTGAACCATGCAGAAATTGTGCCTAGGCCTCCTTGGAAAACAAGTTAATAGTATGAAAGCGAAAAAAGAAAAAAAAAGAATTTTTTCTTTTTAAAATGCAGACCACACGAGTTCTTCAGTTGTGTGTAAGAAAGGAACAGGAATTATTCAGCAGAAAAAACATTAGTCCTTTAGAGGCATCAATCCAGTCAGCACTCTCTCTGCTCTCAGGGGTCTTTTGCCTCAGCCCTTTTGCAAACCATGGTATGTGGTTCCATTTGATGTCCCAGGATCAGTGGTGCTTGCCTGTTTGGAGGTGTGGCAGACCTGCTGCTTTGATGACTTCCTTTGTTTTGTGACTTGGCAGTTCCCTCCGGCTCCCAAGCAGCACCATCCTTGTGACTGTTTTGGTTAATAAGATGTGGTAGAAGTGAGGACTTCCCTTCTTGTCTGTCCTGGAACACTATCCTCACCATGTGGAGGATGAGAGCACCCAGGGTTTCCAGATGAGGCCATCTTAGACCACTTGACCTCAACTATGAGAGAGCACCCAATGAAGATCCAACACAGTTGCCTTCCTGACTCCACATTACTGGCAATCACATGTAGAGCCTAGCTGAAGCCATAAATGTTACTCAGCTAACCATAATGAATACCTTCCAGACAGTCCTGTATAAGCATATATAAACAGTGATGTGTTCCCATGACTTTTACTGCCCCGTCTCCCAACTCGATACTACTATAACATTAACACTTCAGAATCAAAACAAAATACATGTATTAAAATGAATTACTCTCTTGGGTGCCTGGGTGGCTCAGTGGGTTAAGCCGCTGCCTTCAGCTCAGGTCATGATCTCAGGGTCCTGGGATCGAGTCCCGCATCGGGCTCTCTGCTCAGCGGAGAGCCTGCTTCCTCCTCTCTCTCTCTCTCTCTCTGCCTGCCTCTCTGCCTACTTGTGATCTCTCTCTCTGTGAAATAAATAAAATCTTTAAAAAAAAAATGAATTACTCTCTTTGTATTTAAATGTGAAATGAAATATAATGTGTTATTTTATAACTGTGAAATAAATGCTGTTGGCAAGAAGGAACATTTAAAGTCTTTCATCCATACTCCCATGACTAAAGATTCAATAATTCCCTTAAAGCATTGATGTTTAAGTAATCACACACTTGCATACATTCCATTATTACATGCTTCTCCTTGATTTAGCTCTATTTCATTGAGAAAAATAGTTAGACTAGATTTTATGTATAAAGTCATGTATTTTGTACTTTATGTGTGACTTACAGGATTTTTATACTTCACAATTTTTGCTGATTTTGTGCTTATTGGACTACCTAGCACATAGTAGGTGTTCAAAGACTGCTGAATGGATGGATTTGTGTTAGAATAGTACTTAACTCACTATTTATGAATGTATAGCATGTAGATAAATAGCCAGCACTTGTAATTTTTCAGGTTTGCTTCTTTATAAAAATGAGTTGCCATGATGTCTCCCTTGATTAATTGTAAAATGTTACCCATACCCTACTACTTTTTTGTTTGCATTCATTCTTGAATTTATTATTTCCATCTAATGATATAGGAATGTTAATTTTTTCTAGTCAAAAAACATGTCAGTGATGCTCTTGGGGAAAA